ATATCAGAGAGCATCCAGTCAGGAAATTAAGAATAATCTTTGCCACTATTTCTGGATAACAAATAAGATATAAATTTTAATGTGAGATGAAAAGTATCTTGCATAACTGAACTATTGAAAGAGAGCAGTGATTTCTGCTCCAAATAAATATGTGAAAAGAGATAGGAAACTGACACCAAGAAAATGCTAAGCTTTGTACCAACCAAAAATTACCTCAAATTCAGAGAGTACCCTTTCCAGGAAAAGTCTGCTTGGGAATCTAGAAAGTTTATGAAGTCACTATTTATTTCTATGCCATTCTTCCTTCTCCATATGGAGTGGACATGGGTTTTGGCCTCTGAACACTGGCATATCTCCCAGAATGGATGCAATGGTCTGGGCTATCAACATGAAGTCTGACTCAGCACTGATTCCAGCACTTTATGAATCTGGCTTCCTACATTGTTGCATGCATTGAGATCCTGTGGCCAGGAACTTCGCTGTAGGGTTGTGATCATTCCTAGGGAGTAAAACATTCACACAAAAAATGTAGTAGTAATTCAGTTCTAAATTGTTTATAGGACTGTTTAAAAGGGCAGTACATATCCACTGGTCTCACCCATTCTCTTTGGATATCCTCAGATCTTCCGAAGGTTCCTGTGCATGTGAGGAATCTGCCTTGCAGCTTTTTTTCTACGTGTCATCTAGAAACACATTGATAGAGCTTTTTCTTCTTTATTTAAAAAGCCAGAGGAAGCTTTCAAGGCTCAGACAGATCATCTATCAGTGATATATTTAGGTCTATTTTCTTCTTGTCTTAGAACCTAAGTATGTCTGGCATGACCGCACAGAAAATCTACAAATTGTGAAATAGGAATAAACTGTAGATTTTTCAAAGAGCTGGGAAAGGTGTGAATTGTCCCATATTCATGTTATAGGGGTATTAATTTTGAGCCTTAATAATTTCATGGTCAGTCTAGTTAAATATTCCACTATTGGCCAATGAAAAAAGAGCAATAATGTTATAAAAAGCTATACTGTATATTCTTTCTAACACCATAAGTGGATACTACTTGGAAAATACTGCCTTCCTCTTTTTCATTCAGATCTAAAAAACTAAATACTACAATTAAGATCATGGAAGAATCCAAGTCCTTACAACGGAAATTGAAACCTAAGAGCCCAACTGAACTTATGCAATTATATTTTTAACATTACATATTCATATTGGGTGACAGAAATGGCCAGAACCCAAAAATCAAGCATATTTTATTCAAAATTCAATTGCTGTCTGAACTTTGTGGTATCTTTATCACATAACAGTATCTTTGCATACAATAGCCTTTGTCCAGACTTATGTGAGAATTCTGAAATGATTTTTCCCCTGTGTATGTCCTTTTTTGGAAAAAAAATGATAGGAAATCTATAATTGCTAATCAAAAGGTTAATTCTGCTGCCAAGAGAATATTTCAATATTTTTTTTATTTCCTCCTCTCCATGAGAGAATAGGAGTTTGTTTTAAAAATCACTAAGTGTTCTCCAAAGATGGATATTGTTTTTAAAATTATGCATGTTATCTATAGTTGCTAACACTTGAAGATCATGAAATCTAAGGTGCACTTTTCCTATTTTCTTTGCCAGAGTATAGGTATTTCAAGAATTTAAGTTTTAAACTGTGATAACCATTCAGTTAGAGGATTTCTATAAATCTTTTTAGAAACTTAACAATGTATAGAGAGTTGGAAATGATGAAATTTGAGATGATTAAGAAGTGAGCCTCTGTGGAGGCTATTTCTTCTTGAGATATTGTAATATCTTGTAATTAACTAAGAGCATATGTCTTCTGAAATGGGCCTATACCACCACTGCTCACATTCAATTATTATTTTGGTTGAAGAGAACTACATTTTGAAACTATTCTTACTGTATGATTTCATAATTATCTGTCAGACGGACACCATTCCTTCAGTACAAAAACTGGAGACATCCTTTCCCCTGCCCCCACGCCCAGATGCTGTAGTTGCCTCCTGGAAGTGCTTACTGGTCCCTCGGACACGTTGGCATGAATTACTCTCTCTGCAGGTTAACAGAAAATGCTGGGCCTATTCTCAAGCCCTGAGGGAAAGCTACACCACTCGATTTGTGTTCGTGAGACTGAAGCCCCTGCCCTCCCAAAAGTGGCCTTGCCCACAGTGCTTATCGGAAACAGCTCCCGGTGAGCAGCACCGGAGATCGGCTTAACAATAACACAGCGTCAGTGATCACGTGCGGAGCTTAAACTGTGCCCTGGCCCAGCTTCAGTGACAAGGCACGGCCTGCTAGAGATTTTTTTTGTCTGGGTTATACTACATGCTACTTGTTCGGCTAAAAAAAAAAGGGGGCAATTTCCATGCAGTATCAAAACGTACTAAGTGAAAGTTCCTCTGTGAATTAGGTAAAACTGTTCATTAGTTTACACCATTAATTACATTTTAAACCAGCAGGCATATGTAAATTTCTTTTTTGGCATTTCATAAACAACTTTTTTAACTTTAGGTAAACAGGTCCAAAATAAACCGAAATACACTGAAATGACTAAGTGTAATAATCCTTTAAGCGATCAAACTACTCTCCAAATGGCCATAGAAATATTATATCTTTACACGTCCTCTTTTGAGCAGATGAAGCAGAATATGGCCTTAATGCCTCAGAATAGACAAAATATGTAACTTACATTACTATTTAAATATAAAGAAAAGCAGGAGTCAGCATAAAAATGATGCTGTTATGTAATTTACCCTAAACAGTATGTAAAAATAAACACTCTAGCACTTCTTCATTTTGCATTGCTGTTTATCACTTACTAGTAACTGGTTTGTACCACATAAAGTGTACTAATTTTTAAATTACAGCGGCAGTTTTTCAACTTACAATTCATGTACTGTTCAAATGTTAGAAACAGTTTACTCAATTCTTTTAAAAACCCTGTGTGAGAGGCTGGCAACAAAACAGAAACAGAAACAAATGGTCAACCTATATGAAGGAAAAGACATTGCTATTTCTGATTAGAGAACCAGATCAAGATTTAAGAAAATGTTGAGAATGGATAAAGATCAAATATTAACTTAAATTTGAAAGATGGGTATCTCATCCATTTAAGCCCCCTTTTGAGCCTTATTCTGACTCAAAACCATAGCAGAGCATTTCACTTGGTGTATTCTTATCATGTTTATCTATTGCCATAGAATACCTTCCTGAAAACACTACTACTATTACATTGACACTTAACCATGAGCCTACACCTCAAGGACAGAAATTGAAATACAAATTTGGCACACCACAATCACTTCAGCTGAATGGAAAACACTTATCTACTCAGATTCTTTAAAGTATCTGAACAATAAATGTTAAATAACTTTTACAGACTCCATCATGATCTTTTCTTTAATAAGAAAGTGGTTTTGTAATACAGTTATCATTTATGAACATTATTTTCTAACAAAATATGATGGAAAATCTTAGTACCTCACTGTATTAGATTTCCTGCTGCCTATGTGAAGACTTTACTTTTGCAATATTGCCCAAATAAATAACCACTGAAAGTTTTGAGAGATTGAACTGTTTTTATCGAGAGTATTTTAACCACGGAGGCAAGAGTTAAAACAATGCTGAAGTTTACCTGAACTTTAATTCCTGCTACTGAAGCTGTAAGAACACTTAATGTGTGTACTACATTCATGAATCAGACCTGAAATTTGTGGAAGCACAGACACTTCAGTATCAAATGCCCTGACTTGGCATAAATGAAATCAGGCTAATTTTGTTTTGTTTTTGTGGTTGGTGTTTGGTTTTTTCTCGAAGATTTTTGAAAAGTTAGTGTTTGACAAAACTGAGAACGTGGTGATGGGTATGCAATGCTCGGCAATGCACTGAGGTACAGGGAGCATAGTCTGCTCATACCAAGTTACTTACAACTATATATGTAAATGAGATTATTCAAGTCATTAGAATGTTCAAGAGAAATTTTTTCAAAGACACAGACTGTAAACGTGAGCATTGCTAATGGGTTTAATTCTGTCAAAACACTTAACTGGCGTAGGTAATGGGAGCGTCAGATGTTGGCTTCTACTGTGCAAGAAAAAAATTTTTCACTGTTACCTCTATTTAGAAAGGGAAAACTAAAGAAGCCGAGGGAATCAGTCGGCTTGTCTTCCTCGCTCACTTAAGAGTCAAAACCCGATCACTTGTGGGGGGCAAACAGCGATGGCCGCACAGCCAGCATACCCGTGACCCCGGGCTGTCGCAGGCGGGTGCAAGAGGCCGGTGGACGGCGAAGGAAGGACCGTCCTTCCGTCCGTGCGGCGGCCCCGGCGGCGGCGGCGCTGCCCGCGCTCGGCGGCACCTGCGAGGCGCAGCCGGGATCGCTCCGTCCGAAGGTGGCGGTGGAAAAACTGCCCTCGGCGCCCAGCCCTGGGCCGTCCGGGACCTCCCGGCCCGGGGGCAGGGCGGCAGGACGGGTTTGCTCTAGCCACGGGCAGCTCCGCGGCGGGGACAGCCGGCTGTGCCAGGACACCCCGTGCGGGACGGGGACACTCGTGCCGGCTGCCTGCTGTCAGCGAGTTTCCTCTCCCGTTCGCCTGCCGTGCCTCTTTCGCGAAAGTTGCGGCTCTGCCCGCAACCCGCAGCCCTGGCAGCGCCGGGACGATTGAAGGCTCCCGCCTCGGCAGCCCGTGCCCCAGAGGCAGGAGGCGATTTGCATGCGGACTTGTCGCTGGTAGCAGCCACTGCCCGTCAAGCCTGACGGACAAACGCCCCCCTCTTTCCGCCCCCCCGTCCCGGAAAGCCCCTCCCTCGCCCCCTCCCTCGGCGGCACCTCCCGCCGCCTGTCAGTCGGAGCGGAGCGCGGCGCGGGCAGCCGAGGCGGCGGCAACGGCAGAGAGCGGGCGGGAGAGGGAGAGAGAGAGCGAGGAGCCAAGCTCTCCCCTCCCTCTCTCCCTCCCTCCCTTCCTTCCTCCTCTCTCTCTCCCTCCCTCCCTCCCTCGCTCCTTCCCCTGCTCCCTCCCTCCGCTCTTTCTGCTTCTCTCTCCCTTCATTCTCGCTCTCGTCTCACCCACCCCGATCTCCGTTTGTGTTCCCCTCTTCCTCTGTCACACGCGCACACACTCTTTCCCCTCTCCCTGTTTTTCTGTCATTTGACTTTGCATCTCAAGGCGGCTACCGGCTCCTCTATGAATCCCGTCTGTTGATCTGTCACCTTCCCTCCACCCCTGTCCCCTCCCAGCTCCACTCCTGTACCTGGAGCAAGGCAGGAGCGGACGCCGAGCAGCATGTCCCGAAGGAAACAGAGCAAACCCAGGCAGATCAAACGTAAGTTTCCTGAGGGGGGCTCCCTCTAACAGACTTTTATTTATCTCGTTCTTGGGAGACACGAGAGAGGTGGCTGTGGGGAGCAATAGCGGGGGCCGGAGTACGGACCGAATGGTGAAACTTTGCCAGAGAGGCTGAGGATGGGGAAAGGGGACATGAGCGAAAGCCGGGAGCTGCTCCGATACAGAGTGAGCAGGCTCCTCACTGTCTCGGTTTTTTTGCTCCTTTGGAGCTCTTGATGCCTCCTCGTAGTCTCCTCAAACTATTGCTCCGTGTTTCGGAGTGGGATCGCTCATGTGTTTTCAAGTTGAAGTAGCGCCGGGAGAGCACACAAACCAGCTTGCGAACACCGCACCTACCACTCAGCAACTTTCTGCGCCTAACGCGTGTGTGAACAGACCCTTGCCGAGCCTGGGCTGCAGTAAGTACTAGAGGATCGCAGAAAGTGTGTGGGGGAAAGGACGAGCAAGTTCCCGCGGGGAGCCCGTGGGCAGCGCCGCGCCCGCCGCGGCCGCGCCGTCCCCCCGGGGCCCCGCCGGCCCCACGCGGCTGCCGCGCCGCCCGTGTCCCTCCGGGGCTCGCTCCGCACCTACACCCTGGGCACACTCGCCTCTGCTGTTTTAGGGGATTTAACACTTTTGAGCTGTTTTCTGTATTGAGAAACTGGTGTGCTGAGGGCTTTTAGTTGAAAGATACGCTGCCTAATAGTGCTCATAATTCACTCTTCTTGCCTGTGACACACGACAGTCTTAACTTCATAAACTTTTTTGTGCTTTAGTTTATTCATCCCAACAAGTCTAGCGGTCGGGACTAGAAGAAGTGTAAGGCGTTTCAAAAGAGGGTCTATAAATCATTTTGTTATAAAATCAGCGGCATTGGTTTGATGTATCTTCATTCATGTTCTGTATTACAGAACTCCATTCAAAGTAATCATTATGGGACATGGAGAAGCTCTTTCAGTAGTATTTTCCTTATTGATTTCTGACTCCTGAATCCTTATTAATAGCCCACTTCGGATGGAATATGTATTGAATTGGCAAAGTGATTTATAAAAGAAGAAAATGAGCTTAATGTAGAATAAGATTGGTCACTGTAAAGTGTTCAAGTAGTACTGGCTGAGAATTCCTGCTTTGTAGAAATTTATCTTTTTACAGTCTACCTGATAAATACAAATAGCCATCACGGTTTCCGATTTAGTTTTCAGTTTACTGAAGTAGCTTAATAAATGATTGAAACTTTCTTTGACATTTTTGAGTTGAATATAATTTTGTGAATCAAGAAACTTTGATTTACTTTGGAAATTGATATTCCCAAATAAATATGCTGTGTGCTTTTAAACTTATGCCTATCTCATTTAATATTAATTTAAATGGTATTTAGTTGTTTAAAACTCTGCATTTTATGTGATGTGATTATGAACATTATTTAGGAAGACTTTCTAGTCTGTGCTTGATGTTTTGATTGTTAAAAAATAATGTGAATTGATTTTATGGCACAAAACCCATCATCTGATTTTGTTTTTGCATACTTTGTTATCGTCTTCATTCATGTCTCTTCCTCACAATGACTGAAAAGTGCTTGGAGGGATTTTCAGGTACTGTATTGCTGGTACAAGTCACAAAGCATTCTGTGGCTTTTCTACATGGCACAATATGCTGAAGGTGATAAACTAGAAATTTATTTTTCACAATCAAGTGCAATATAGTAGTTTGTTTTCATATATGCAACAATGTGCATCTAAAAGTGTATGTAGAAAGTGTGTAACTATATTTGAACAGTGTTTACAGAAGATTTTATTTTCGCACTCTTCTCATTGCTTATGTTTTTCTATTCAATTTACATTGAAGCTAGAAGTAAAACAAGGTCAGAAAGAGTTGGAGGATAAATTATGTAGCATAATCCTTATAGATGATAGCTTTGGAGGTGTCAGTGGGGGGTTCTTTGGTGTAGCTGTAAAGTCATTTTGATTCAAATCAGTCATCTCTACTGTAGAGTTTTCTGTGACTATTTGGCCAGCCATAAGTGATATTTCTCAGATGAAGAAGTTTTGTTCTGGTACAGTGCAGGCTTTACTAACACATTTTCAGATTCTGATATTTAAATCAAGCCATGTAGTGCTTCATGCATAAATAAGTCAATTTATAAAGAATATTTTTTTTTTGTACATTAAAGTCAGATCTGGAAAACGCTGATCGTTATAATAACCATTAAAAAATAATGGAGTGACTAGTGACAAGACTAGACCACTGTCTTTAAGTTTGAACACTCTTCAGTTTGTGAATAAAACAGAAAGTACTGCTCATAAAGCATGCACAATTTAGAAGCTCTGTGACAAGCAAGAAGTCAGCTTACACTGGGAACTATGAAGACAGTCAATTTAAAGGACAAAAAGGTTGTTGGGCACAGTTTTTTTCTTATACTGCATACAGTTCTCTGCTATCTAAAATTGTGATTTATGCAGTATTTTAATATTTTGCTTATTCTTTCCCCTTGGGTGCTCTCTGGGCAGCGATAAAAAGGCGACGCTGAAAGAGCACCATTAATTTGCTCTGATGACTGGCCAGATAAGGGGAGATAATGGGAAAGATAAGCGGAGAAGATATACCATCAGAAACCCGATTATTACCATTAAAATTCCAGCCCAGCAATCTGCAGAAGCCTGATAATTCCTTCTCCGTTTCCACCACTTTGGATGATAAGGCAAAAAATAGTCACTCAGTGCTCCTTGATTAGACTGCCTGGATTTCCTGATAATACAGTGATAAATTATGTATTTTGCCCCAATGTTTTTCCCAAAAAATTCAGGTTTTTTTTTCCAGGTCTGTATTTTTTTCCTCTTCTTCCTCCCTCAATAAAACATCCCAAAAAACAACCCCCCCAAAAAAACTCAAAACAAAAAAAACAACAACTAAGGAAACCTACCAAAACCTCTCTCTCATGAGCTATTATTGTAATCCTAGTTTGATAAAAAGCACTGATAGGCTAGGAGGTGTTTTGTATGGGAGACCCATATCAATGTTATCAGCCCATCTCACTGCACCAGCTGCTAGCTGTTGTTGTTTTTAGCCTTATCACCTCCTGCCAATATGCCAATAAATTGCCCAGATTGTTCTCCATTCTGTGGCTGCGCTGCAAAATTTATGACAGAAATGATGATTTTTTTTTTTTACCAGTGCATTTCTTTATGATTAGCAAATGTGTTGTGTGTGCAGTTTTATTGCTATTTTCTTGTTCTTCGTGCAGTTGTCTGTAGTCTGGTAGTCTGTTTACTGACCTGCATGTCCCCAACTCCAGTCCCATTTAAGTGCAGTGGTTTATAGATGGGGACAGTTAAATTGTGGAAACAATTCCTTACCTTAACCATTAATTTTACAACACTGTATTTTGTAAAACTAAACCGACTTCCCGACCCCGCCCACCCCCAACCCCCCACTCTCCCCCCCACCCCCTAAAGGACATTATTCTCCCACCTCACCCCCCCCCCCTTCTTTTTTTTCTTCTTCTTTTTTTTTTTTTTCTTCTTCCCCTCCCTCCCCCGTGGTCACGTTCTACAAAAAGAATTTTTGGAGTTATTAGTGGAATAGTTTCTTATACAACTTTGGGATTGATACATAATTTATGTTGTGTAATGTGAAGAATGTTCAGTACAAAGTGGTCTTGAATTCTGTGTTAGCAGGGGAGAGAATGCCGATGAATATTGGAACTTCAAATTACATACGCTATATACATATTTTGTAAGTGAAATGTTGAACAAGGAGGAGTCGGGCTGCAGGTCATCGTGTCAGCCTCTTTCAAGAAGTTTGTATTAATTTTCAATGAAAAAATAGTCTGTCCAGCATTTGAGCCATATTCCAACCTGTTTTGCATAGTTTGTGATGTGTAAAGAATTATAAGGAAAAATCTCTACATCTGAATGCTTAAGTTCTCACCTTATGCTTTATTAGAGTGCCTTCTTCTGTATTTACTGTTTCTTCCAGTTTTAACACTCTTTTTATGTGTGTGGGTTTTTTAAAATGTGAATGACGTTTTAAAAATTGTATTTGCTTTTAACCTAACATCCATAGCAGAGTAATATTAGGAAGTAACATTCTTTTCTATATTGAGTTTGTTTTCTTTTGACAGCAGAATAAATTTGAAGTATTTAGTCAAAATACCTATTTTTTCTTTTCTGGTATTACATGCCAGCGGTCTTTCTAAGTAATGAAGCTGTTTAATACAGTGCTGTCTTCTGTACAATGCCAGGTCACATAAACCCTGTGGGCTTTTTGCATGCCATATATAAAAAGAAATTTGTCTTTTTAAAAGCCAATACAGGTTTATTATCCTGGGAATACAGTCCTTCTACCTGTTGCCTTTAAAATAATGCTGTTTGGCGGAAAATATTTCGTGAAGTTTGTTTTTCATTATGACATTTTTTGTACTCTTGCCTGAGAAGGGATGTATTATCAAAGTTTATTTCCTCATGTTGTCTTGATTTTTTTTTTCTTAGAGTCCACAATGACTAATCTGCGATCAGAAATGTGCATAATTACCTCAGTGATGCAGTCCTGCAAAATAAAATTCACTGCTTAGCAAAGTTTTGCAATTGCTATTAATAATAAAAAAGCATACACTGATATTTTTCTGTGATGATGTACAATATTGATCTTGCTCATTTTTATTTTCATATTTCAAGAGTGGAATACATATAAAAGAACAGGAAAAAATATATTAAATTGTTGGAATTGTGCAGGAAAATCTACCAATTAGAGTCTCATAAATCATTCAGTGTGTTTTGTAAGTTTAATAGAACCACTTGTACAGGCACACTGATTCATTTTCATTGAGATCCAATAGGCTTATATGTAGGTGTTTGGTTTAGAAACAGAATAGAGAAGTGAGAATCTTTTTCTCTTTTCCCTTCTCCTGTAAAATTCCAAAGTAACATAAAATACAACCCACAGATAGCTTTAACATGTCTCATTGCTAGGAAGTGAAGTATTTTCTATCTTTGTCTTTTT